GTTTAGGATTTAGGGTTTAGGGACCGTTTAGGGTTTAGGGTTTCGGGTTGCATTCCCTGAAACCCGAGGGCTCAACATCGCCCAAAATCCTGATATAGTATGGCATGTGGGCCCCCAAAGGCCATCAAATATGAGTCCTTAGAGCCTTAGGCAAAGGGTTTACAAGTGTAATTATGACCCTGGGTACCTGAGACTGGCGGGCTTTTAGCACGGGATGCAGACGGGTCCATTACTAATTCCCTTGCGTGTCTTGAACTACGGGAAGCATGGCATGCTCTGGTTGAACATCGAGCCTCGTCTCTTCTGGTCTACATGCCTCTGCCGCGCCGCGCGCCCTGGGCCGACGCGACCGACTCGGACGGGTGCCCGACGCTGGAGGCGGCCGCGGCTACCTTGCAGACCTTCGCGCCTGCATCCGCTACCGGTCCTTCTGGCAGTTGGCCCTGGCCCTACCACTCGACTGGACATCGTGATTGAGGTTTTCGTCCGCACACTTCTTATGTCCGCGCGCTGCGGGCCGGAGCTGCCCGCTGTCTTGCGGGGCTGGCAGAGCCGTCTTCGGCGCTTGTGTGATCTTCGCACCGCACGGGTGGCTTGCAGCACCTGGCGAGCTTTGATTTTTGATGTCCACATCACGGATGAGGGCGACCTGAGGCAGATTCATCGCCACCGCACGGATGCTTGCCCCTGCCTGTCAGCTTGGAAACGGCTGGCCAACACAGGGTCATGTTCTTGCAGCTGCTTGTTCCCGCTAAAGATGAAAACAGATTCCGCGTGAGTTGCATTCAGCTTGGCTCAGAGCACGTTTGCTGCCATGTATACATAAAATTATTTCTGACATCAGTATTATTAGGCATTAGGCATGCAGCTCCTGTCTGCGCAGCGACACCTCGTCAGGCAAGATTTCAACCAGGCTTGAGAAATCCGTGACCTTCCCGAGTTGCTTCAGGAGTGGCATGACATCGGAGCGTCTCGTGGCTGTGGGTCATGGTCTGTGAACTAGCTCTGGCAGGCTTCCTTTCGCCCAACGCACGGTTCCAGGCGCTGCCGAGTTTCTCCGTGCACAGCTTAACCTGGAGCTTTTATCTGCGTCTGGGCTCGTGCCACACGAGCAACTTACTACGTCTCTATATCAGAATGTTTTGCACGGCGTTGAGCAAAAGGCCAACGCAGATCGAGAGGCCATGCTGGCCCGCCTTCGTGCTGAGGCTGGTCCCGACGCAGTCCGTAAACTATACAGCAGATATTTCCATTCGCCTGTTTAGAGGGCATCGGGCTACGCATGTCCATGGACGCGTCCCGCACCTCTGCGTCTGGCTTTCTGGTCGAAGGAACGCAGTTTTTGGGCTGGTTGCAGCAAGAGCTGGGCATTAACTCAACAAAGCCATGGGGACACAGCTTTGGGAACGAATGAGCTGGCAGAGATATACGTCATCAACCTGCAGCGAGCTTTCGAGATGACATACCCATCTCTAGCTGTGTGTGGAGCACTCCACCTCGAGGACATGCGGGGCCTCTACACGACTCCGGACCCTCTGGGACTGCATTCCCGTGTCTGCCTCTTATTCTATAGTCGCCCAACCATGAGACGGGCTCGTGAGGCGTATTGGGCAACGAGGGCGGAAGCAATGCATTGGAGACGCGGCTGGTCAATTGGTTTTATCGCGTTTACCAAGCCCATCATGCCTCAGAGCACCGAGACGAGGCCGCTTTCAGCCACCCGCAACAATCAGGCTTCTCAAGGAAACATATACCTTATCAAGCATGAGGCGTCGAAACGGCATGGGAAACTGAAAGGTAAGCACTTGCGGCATGCTCTCAACTTCCACAACATCCTGCTGGCTTTCGCGGGGCAAGATCCCGGTGCGTGGTCCACCGAGATCACCGTTGAGGCACTCCGCGCCGCCGATCTGCTGATATTTTGAACGCACCTGTTGCCGATCGACTACTGCGCCCAGTTCTGCGGCAGAAGCCGGCAGCCGCTGCCATGCCTGCACAGATCCCCTATACAAACCCGAACTGGCTCGAAGTCATTGCCATGCGTGCCCTTGTCCTTGCGGCAACCCCGCCACAAAGTTTGTGGCGGGGTTACCGGCCAGCTTGCATGGTGTGTTTTCAATTTGTCGTTCAGCCACAGTGCTCATCGGCCGCGCGAGGTGGGCGGTTGTGGCACAGGCCCGCCCGCGTGATTGATGTAGTGCGTCCTAAAAGAAGATGCAATCTGCACCGGTGCTTCCGCGTGCTTGTCACACAGCACAAGCCACGACACGGACACGGTCGTTTGTTTATTTTTGGTTTTTGATCACTGTAACTTGTAACTTTTTCTGTGTGCGTTGGTGTGCATGCTGGGTTTGATCCCCTGCAGCCATGCGTCTCGATCACGCGATCCCGGAACCTGTTTTCGACTACCCGGCTATACCTGACTGCAGGCGACCTTCAAGAGATGCTGCTTGCCGGCGGTGTCTTCCGCGAGCCGCTTCGGCTCTTCATTGCGAGCAAGCGCCGTATGCGTGCCACGGTCGACCCACTGCTCTTTGCAACGATCCGCTGCCCGCGGATGGATGGTTTCCTGCCAGTTGGCTTGTTCTGGAACCCTTGGCACGAGCCATTAGAAGCATTTCTTCGCTCGCGGCAGCTTGGGATATCTGTGGACGGGCATATGTTGACGATGATCTCCGTGTCTCCAGCCGTGAACATTTGAAGAAATTAATTACCCCCGTGATTGGGTGCACGTACAACAAATGTAGTATAGTATTTAGTACTGTATATATACTATAGTATATACGTGGGCTTTCAAGGATTGCCTATGTAGTATCTTTCGGGTCCATGCAACAAGCCCGGATATAGATCTAGATCTAGATCTAGATATATAAGGTGGTTTTATCCTAGCCCAGTAGAACCCTGACATGAGAACCCCGCGGAGGATGGTCGCCGGTTTTCGAGAAGATGGTAAACTCCGAGAGATTCACCGAAGCTGCGCAGGCTCCATGCGTTTAGAGTCTAGGGTTTAGGGTCTGGGGTTTAGGGTTTAGGGTCCAGGGCTTAGGGTTTATTTAGGGTCCGGCAGCGGGTCGCCCTACAGTAGGGTTATGTATAAGTTGAGTTGCTGAAAGGGTTACTCTTGTTGATGATATAAATCCTGCATTACCTAAAGGACCCTAATTAAGCTATGGGAATTATGGTATCTTCCTTATTATGGGTATGGCAGGATTTACATCATCAACGGTATTACTCTCAGGGTTCCTATAAGAGCTACCATAAGGTCCCCAAGGTCGAGAGTAGGGTTAGGATCGGAGGTTAGGGCTCAGGGTTTAGAGGTTACGACAAGGGTCGCTGTAAGGGTTACCACAAGGTTTATGGGTTAGGGTTTAGGTTACTTTCAGGGTTACCATAATAAGGTTTATAGGGGTTAGGGTCACTAGGGTTACCACAAGGTTTAGGGCTTAGGGTTTAGGTTACTGTTCGGGTTACCATGAGATTTACTATAGGGTCCCCAGCGTCCAAGATGTAGCTTGAGGGAGATCACGAATCCCTCAGTTCAGGATCTCCTGTGCAGGAACCCCCCTGCAATCTGAGGAGCAGTGCTGAGGTTACGCGTAGGTGGCTGGGTTACTCTCGTATGCGTTCGGTTTAAGCAAAGTTTGGGGTTCTTCGTGACGGTGCAGGCACGGCTCAGGTTAGGATGTTTTTTCTGCGGGGCTTATAGTTTGAATTTTCTGCCAATTCTGAGGCTGCAGAGCTGTTCCCTAGTTGCACAAAACACTGGTTCTTCGAACAGCGACGAGCCTTAAGATGCAGAAATGCTTCAGTCGCACATGCCGGCACCGTGATCAGGCGCAAGTGATCATCGAAGACTTCTCCGCTGCTGCAGTGGAGATCTTTCTGCGTTGTTTCTACTCGGGTGTCGTGGAGCTTTGGATGCAGACATGTGGGTGGCTCTAGATTGAGGTCCCTTTTCAAGTACATACACATAGTGTACGAAGACTCTAGCACAGTAAGGATCCAGAACTGGACAACATGTAGAGCACAGAACTGACGGTATCCGGTGCACAGAACGCTGGTGTTGACAGTGGAACTGACACAGACCCGATAGGTAAGCATGGTAAAGACTCAACAGCAGCACCCGGCAACATTAAGACTCCTTTTCTAAAATGCTTACGTACAGGTGGTTTGTACTCGGGGTGTCATTTCTGTGTCGGGTTTTCGTTTTGGGAGCTTCTTCTTCACTCAACCTGAAAACCACGACATCTGTCTTGATCCCGCAACTATCCTCAAGTACTATCGGAAAGCCGCGTAGAAGGATGATCAGACCATTGAGTAAGAGTACATGCCTGAAGGGAATCAGGATAAAGACCAGGTACCCTTGCACCCAAAGCCGTATGATATCTTTGACCCGGAGCCATTCACCTGTTGCGCTTCGTTTGACTCTGTGTGCACATTGTGCACATGCTCGGGCCTTCTTCAGTTTTTCAGTTCTTCAACTCACAAGCGCGCCATCAGAGTGCTGATCCTTCAGTGCCTTTGATCAGCCCGACTTTCCCCAAACAAAAGCCGGAACGTGTAGCCGAGAAGTTGCGAAGACAAATCACCTTTCGTTTTTGTTGCAAAAGTTGAAACCATTCTTGCACGTAAAGCCAAGTGAGCTTTCTGAAAACAAAAAGTTAACCCCATATCCTCAAGCAGAAACAGGAGGGCCCACTGACCACCTTGGTGGAGGTGGGGAAGATGGCCGACAAGCAACCCGGACCGCAGACTTGTGCTTGAAACACCTTGCCATGCCATGAACATGTGCCACTCTCGTCCTCGACACTGTGCATCTCAGGCATCCATAGCTTGATGTACGGCAGGATGTAAGGCTTAAGGTTTTGAAAATATTGGAAGGTGTATCCGGCAGCGATACTGCTGGGTTTTGGAATACCATACTTGATCGTCGTTTTTGGAGGGCTGCTTACTTGACAGAACAAAAACGAAATCGACGTGTATACATGTTAATCTCCTAGGTCCTAGGTTACTTCAATTCCAAGCCCAAGACCCTCCACGTTCACTAGCTATTCTCACCCCCGGTGATTTGTCATTATTACTATGACTATTGTTCGTACTGCTCAGGTGTTTAATTTTGTTAGTTGTTCCTATTATTGGCATTTTGGTTTGTTGTTATTACACTTATGGTCCATGGTCATTAGTAGCAGTAGTATTAGTATTACTATATTTATCAAGTATTGTTATGAAGGTTAGTATTATTTACAGGTGTTTTAGCTTATTATTGTGGGTTGTGTGTATAAGGGCTTTGGAGGCATCTTTGGTGCTACAGTAGCACGCTTTAGGCTTAAACCCCAGACCCCATGAACCGAAATGTGAGGTATCCTACAAACCTTGAACCCGGATCCTAAAATCTAAGCCCTAAACCCTAAACCCTAAACCCTAAGCCCTAAACCCTGTAAACCCTGAAGCCCATAGGTCCTAAACCCCAGACCATGGGTAGTTATAAGTAGGGTTACAAGTAGGGTAACTATAATCATAACCCATATTAGGGGACTTATGACCCGACTTAAAACTACCCATGAACCTCCAAGTATACCCGGAACTGCGAGGTATCAGGTGGACCAGCTGCACACGCTGTGCACGCAAGCGGTCCGCAAGATGATGAAGCCTGCTCCTTGCAAGAACAGTGCTATAGAGGCCTCAATAATTAGAATAGGGTTCTGGGGTATACTAGATTACAAGTATAGAAAGGAGCCCCAAAACTGTATGTTAATTATGAAGACTCCTACATTATTTTGGTGGAGGCCTTGAGGATAGGGTTTCAGGGTATAGTGTATTGGAACTATGCATGAAGGAGCCCTAAGAGAGCTCTTTATGTAGCAGATCCTGAGGCATCTGCTCCTTACTTTAGGGTTTAGGGTTTAGGGTTTAGGGTTTAGGGGTTTACGGTTTAGGGTTTAGGCTATCAAAGACTCTGACATCATGTAGCAGGTTGGGGTCTCGGGGGTGGGCTAGACAAGGTTTAGGGTTTAGGGTTTAGGGGTTTAGGGTGTTAGGGCATTACGATGCCATTGCCGGATTGTATCCCCGAACCATGTTGTGTATGTGTGCGGCTTGTCAGGTCCGTTGCGATATGATATGACCGATGACATAAAGTTCATGCGTTTCCGTATCCGTTGAAGGATAATTGGTTGTATTTCCGGCGTTTTTGGCGTGGTAAGACCTCAGACCTACACCACCAGAAGCCCGCAAAACTGCAAATCCTGACACCCCAGAACTCCCAACGCCCGGATGGCACTCGTACTAAACCATATCCTAACCCCTTAGCCCCAAAGACAAAGAAGCCTTCCTCCCTCGAGCGCAACCTTGGTGGCACGATATAAGTCCCAACCCCGAAACTAGACCCTCAACCCTAAAACCTTAAACGCCTAAACCCTA